CATTCATGACTGGAGTACAAACCTTTGTTATTACACAAATGAATGCCCCCAGCGGGACTCGAACCCGCGACCGCCGGCACAGAAAGTAGGGCCACTACAAACTGAGCCAAACGTGTCGTCAAAAATATCTTTTCCATTTCTTTTTAACCTTTCGTGCCCAATATTCAAAAATAAAAATGTTATGCAAGATAAGTGTCAAGGTCAGCATAGTGGTCGTGAACTGCCTGCTCACTTAATTTTGTTTTTTTTTTTGACATGTTGTACCTTTTGGATTTTAATGAAACTTGGCATGCTGTAAGACAATATACTCGTAAAGACAATTATTATAATTTTTTTTCAAAGTGGTAATTTAATAATATCTGAGAGAAATCGATTGACGTAATTTTTATTTGAATTTTTTTTATACTTTTATTTAGGCTTGGCCCATAGGAAACAGCTATAAAATAAACTATAAAGCATATTATAACACATTCAGTTTTATTTTGCTAGCTTTGAAATTAACTAAGATATATATCGCTTTGAAAAAAAGTCGCCCCCGGACACTTTTTTTCAATTAGCTCCTCAAATAACTAAGATATAGAGCTAATATCTACTGGATCAATTACTATTAGTGTCCTCTAATATATAACATTTGTTACGATATAGGATCCTATCGGGGGCACTTTCGCCATAGAAGTATGGCTATACCCTTTCATCTAAATCGGTTTAGTAGATCTAGAGATTACCCCCTACAACGTCACAAACTCACGAACTTTACCTCTTTATAATATTAGTATAGATAGAAACAATAGTTATAGTCTAAACACAAATAATACAATTCATCAACTCACAAACTCATAAACTTTACCTCTTTATAATATAAGTATAGATAGATTGACGTATTGTATATGAAAAAAAAACCATCTTATAGAAATCTCACTCAATAGATTACCGACACGGTCGCGGTTCCATACCTACGAGTATGTCGTATTGTCTCTTTAACCATGTGTCCAAATTATGTGCAGTAAAAGGGAAAAGACTTTTGTTTTAAACATTGTAGACGATAAATTTACTTATTTTGATAAGAATTAATAATTGTTGATAATATGACCAATAAACATGACCTACCGATTTAAATTATTTTTTAATATAAAAAACTGCTTTTTGTGACTTAAATTAAAAGTTAGACATATGCTGTCGCTAACTTTTTTGTAGGCATTATTAAGTTCTGCAACTTTTCTCTAGAATATAATCATATACCTCCCAATGTTAAGGCAGCGCTCGTAAGAAACGTTTTCGTTCGACCGTTTTTTTCTCCGACTTACTTTGCAAATCCGACTACCATGAAAAAGTCTTTACATTCTTTGGGTTAATATATAGATTATGACACTCAAAAATAACGTGGCTTTCTATTGGTAAAGGAATTTTCAAAATCGGTTCAGTAGATCCAGAAATTACCCCCTACAATCACAATGTCACAAACTCACAATCTCACAAACTCTCTTTATAATATTAGTATAGATAGGCGGAGATAAAACAGCTCAGTACCTTTTTCTCCTCTCTTTATCGACCGATTTTGTCTTTTTTTCTGTAATAAAAAAATATATTATGTTCGTATTTCGACCACTGTGTGAACACTGGAATAAAAAAAGTAAATAGTCAATCCAGTAAAAGAAAAGTTAAGAAAAAAGATTCATATGTGAATTATATTATAATATTTTTATATTTCAGATGGTAATGCAAACCAACAATCAGAAGCACTGTCAAGAAGCATAAACTATCATGCAGGAAACAAACGGCCAATTTGGTTTATGTTTAGTGGTATGGGATCACAGTGGGTTGGTATGGGAGAAGCCTTGATGCGGATACCAATATTTAATGAAGCAATTCAAATGTATGTACTGATTGAAATATGTTAACTATCTAGTTTAAGATAACGGTACTGATTATGATATTTAAACTGCCCACGCGCACGCAGCCACCGGTGGCTCGGTGAACAATTCATTTCTCGGAAATTCGCCGACAGGAGTTAAACTAATGTTGACTTTCAAATAAAACTATCTTTTCCGATTTTTTTCATGGATTTATTTTGATTTTTGATTCCCAACGTTTCGAAAGATTTACAGTAATCAATGGTCACGGGAGAAACTATGTTTTATACGTCCTTAAGGGTGTAAGTAATTGTTACTTACAGCACTTACCTACAAAATTAGACAATTACAGTCAAAAATGGCACCAAAGTACCTTACAATATGTATTAATTTTAATTTTAAACAAATTTTATAATTTAAGTGATTTTTATAGTTAAATATGAAATATTATTTATTTAACACTATAAAAGTTGTACTATAGGTATATTATAAAACTTGATAAGAAAAAAATATGTTTCAGATGCGACAAGGTTCTAAAACCTAAAGGATTAGATATTATAAAAATAATATGTGATAAAGATGACACTATTTTTGATAATATTCTACACTGTTTTGTGGGTATCGCTGCAGTACAAATTGGTCTCGTGGATATATTGAAAGCTATTGGAATAGAATGCGATTATATGATTGGTAAGCATTTACAGTACGTGTAATATAGAAATAAGCCAAGCCAATTTTTGTTATATTATAAAATAATCTTAAATGGCTAACAAACTAGTGTACACATTAGCTTACAAACCTAACCAATCACGCCAGAATAGGTGAACGGATGTAGATGAAATTTAGCACACAGATAGATTATAGTCTGGAATAACACATAGGTTACTTTTTATACCGAAAAAAACACAGTTCTCGTAGGATAGATTTGCTTTTTTCAAATGTCAGTATATTTTAGTAATAAGCTTTTTATTTCTAAGGTCACAGTGTCGGTGAAATAGTATGTGGGTATGCCGACGGATGCTTTACTAGAGAAGAGCTGATCCTTTCTGCGTATAGCCGAGGGAAAACGTCTTTAGAAACCAATTTTATCCCGGGTGCTATGGCGGCCGTAGGAATGGGGCATAAAGATGTACGTTATCCTAATTTGAAATTCAAAAATTATATGAATGACGGCTTATTTACTTTTTATATAAAAAAATCAAAATTATACTTAAAAAAACTATGATATTATGTGTCTGTTTATTTTCCAACTCTTTTTAAATAAATAATTAATTTAAATAAAGATAATTTTAAATAAGATTTTAGACACACGCCTAAATTAGAAATTTATTCATTTAAATATTAATTTATCATATTATGTTTAATTTTTTGATTATATCATATGAGGGCCCTACCGTGCTACCGTTCACATCGGCTCTGTGCTTAAATTTTACAAATACATGCTGTTAGAGATAAAGTTAGACTCAAAAAGTGTTCCCGGGGGAGAAGCCAACTCCTACCGGGCGCGTCCCCAGGTGGCGGATAGGGGCATGCCACCCGCTTAGAGGGGCGGGTGGTACCGGAGAAATCCGGCGCGGACCAAATGGCTTGGATGGGGCCGCTCGTCTAGGCCTCGAGCCGAAGACGTTGCGGCCACCGGTGGTGGGACCGCTTGGTCCCACAACCGGATGATGGGTGCCGGTTGCGGGACTGTGGTCGCAGACCCGCATTCGGCGGAGGGGTAGGCCGCTGCGGGAGAGGAGTGTTGGTGTTTCGTTGCCGCTCTCCCTGTCCTCTGCAGCCGATTGGAGGTGGCCCACTTCGGTGGGCGGTGTTTTGGTTTTATGGGGCTGCTCCGGGTACCTCTCTGACGTAGCAGAGTTGACTGTGGAGCAGCCCCATTGGTTTGGTGGTCTGCCTAGTATTTAGGCAGACCTGCCGCCGGGGCGCCGTGGTAGTTATGCGCAAGCGATCCTGCGGCGTCCCACTAAGGCGGGGGGAAGGGATGTCGGGTTTTAGTGGGTAGTACCGGCTCTTCTGGCCGGTGAGCCCCACATCACCACCTGGGGGATCAGGTGGTATGCGTAAATGCATTTCCCGACGATAAAAAAAAAAAAAAACTCAAATAGTGTTACATCGAAACGCAGTGCTAACAATCGTCGAGACAAAGTGTTCTCTTCTCGCCAAAGCGAAATATCAGTGCTAAAATAATCAAAATACTAAGTGACAAGCAACAGACAATTTAACAAACTTTGCAAAGTGTAGACTAGCCAGAACTTACTAAACAGTGCAGTGATTGTCAATAATTACAATTTCAATGGAACAATTATTGTGCGTACATGATATCATTTCCCATATAAGTGTATAACCTCAAATTAAGAAACTCACTAGAAATTTCTCACAAAAACCTATCAACGCCATCTAGCAGCAAGTAGCCGAACTCGCAAGATATCTACGCAATGCGATAATCCCAACCTAATATCGACGTAAGTACCTACTTTCACTATTCACCACAAGGGCGTGGCAACTGTATCAAGATTATCATAAAGTCATCATCAACATATATACAATAATGGAGTAAATAAAAGATATACTCAGAAACATGCAGGAAGAAATGAGGCAACAAAAAGCGGAAATTCTAGAAATGAAAGAAAAAAAAATACCGTAAACAGCAATATTAACGAAAAGTTTATTATTCTAGAATCAAAAAACTAGTTTCTCGACCAAATATTGGAATAAAAATAAAATAGACAGCACGGAGAGATTTAATACAAGAAAAAGATACTTTCTTCGGGGTCGAAGAACGCGAGAGGTCTTATGAAGACCTAGAGAACAAGGTGCTACAAATTATAAACATCATACTGGAAATTGAATGCAATGACAACAGAATGGAATTAGTAAGACGGCTTGGAAAAAAAGTGGAAAAACTAAAGTTATAGTAGTGACTATGATCACCATGAGGTTAAAAAAAACTAAAAAACAAAAAGAATCTGGAAGCATCGTCATACTATATAAAAGAAGACTTTCCCCCAGAAGTGCTCAACAAGCTAAAACTACAAATAGAGCTTAATAGGCAGAGAGAATTAGGAAAAAGGGCATTCATTAAGTACGATAGACTTATCATTCTAGAACCAAAAAAAAACAAAAGGAACACGCCATCCGAAGCGACATCGTTGAACAGGAAAAACAAGACAATATGAAAAGAAACCTATCTGAATCCCCTAAAGAACCACCTAAAAGTTTCAGCCACAAAGAAAACAGAAAAACTGCGCTTAAAATTAACAAAACCAACAACATAAATAACTATTTCACAAGAAAGCCAGGGCTGTCGCAACGCGGAACTTCTTCTCCGCAAGCAACAACGCAAAGCTCTAGTCAAACAACACAATAGCATTTAACGGGCGCCCTTCTCAATCTCCCAAGACGGCTGGTCTTCGCGAGAGAACTTGACCAAAACCCTCCGGAGACAAATAATCCCTTAACGAAAAACCCAAACTTATACTTAGCCACATATACGTAAGAACTCTACCGACTAACACGCGCCTCCTAGAGTTGCTAGATGCACTAGAAAACACAAGGTTTGATATAATTGGCCTTTCGGAAATAAGACGGCTCGGCAATACGATACAAGAGCACCAAAACTTATATTTTGTTATATAGGAAAGACACCAGGACTATACGGAGTAGGATTTCTTGTGAACAAATATTTAAAAAAATGTATCGAATGTTTTATTGGCCTGGCAGAGCGAATGGCGCTTTTAAAAATCAATGTAAACAAATTCAAAATAATTTTCAAACAAGTATACGCACCCACTGAAGCAGCCCTATACGAAGAATTAGAAGCTTTTTACAACACCATAGACAAGACTTTAAAATTATCTAAAGAAAACGTCGTAACTATGGGCGACTTTAACGCAAAAATAGGAAAAATAATAAAATATATAACGGACTCTTGATGACAGTTTAATTCTTAAGAATTTTGAATATGGCGAACGAAACTGCAGAGGAGAGAGATAAATACATGAGAACCACCTCTCCATTATGAACTCGTTCTTCGAAAAGAAAAGTAAACAAGGATGGACATGGAGATCTCTAGACGGTGCCACAAAAAATGAACTCGACTATATCCTGACAAACGTACATAAAAACATTCAAGACGTTCAAGTACTAAACATACCATTCCCATCAGATGACAGATGCGTAAGAGCAACTTTTAATCTACAAACAATTATTAAAAGTAGAAACAACTACACCAGTAACTCGAGAAGTTCTCTGAAAAATATTAAAGAAATCTCAAGATATCTAGAAGCACTAAACAAACATCAAGAAGAAGTTATCCATCATTTAGAAGACGACACAGTCCAAACGTACTACGAAAAAATATTCTCAGCGGTCGATAAAAGTTTGAAAACAGCCCTAACACCAAATATACACACAGAGAAGAAACGTATTGGCATATCAGAACGAACGAGAATATCAATAGATCGTAGAAGAGACAAAAAACGAAAACTAAGACAAGAGCCCTATATAAACTTAAAAGAAAATATATGACATTTTAAATAAAACTATCTTTTCAGATTATTTCGCGGATTTACTTTGATTTTTGGTTCCCAAGTTTTGATTTTAAGGAACAAATATTCGCGTAAATCTAAGAAAGTATTAAGTAAATATATGCGTCAAGATTACAAGGATTATTGTTTATACTATAGAAAAACAACTACATTCGTAAGGCAGCTTAAAAAAAGATTTCAAAGAACTAAAAACTCACAAAACATGGATCGAGGGCCTTTGAGGATCGAGCAAAGTATCACACAATAGAAAAGACATACTCCGTATAGCCACAACGTATAACAAAACACTATACAATGCAATGCACCGGAACACTATGAAAGCTCACAGAGTCTATCTACTAGAAGAATATGATCGTAACCTTACAAAAATAACCCAGTGCAAAAAATCGAAGTTATTAAAGAAATTCATCTACTCAAAGCATTATATTAAAATAATACTAAAATCTAAAAGAAAATCTATATATTAACAGTTAAAGCAATTAAAATAAATTATTTAAATTAACTAATCAATTAAAATTAATAAATTACTTAATCAATGAATTGATTAGTAAAAATTTATAATGTAAAAAAAAAATCATGATTAACAAAATAATAAAAAGAGTTATTAAAAATAAAAATTATGAAACTGTAATAAATATTAATCAATAATTTAATACAACTAATTCAATCATTACTAATCATAAAATTGCTATGTACTATCAATTACTATATTTAATTTATTTCTACCAACTGGATGTAACGATTATTGTATAAAAAAAACGTTACTTCATCATATTGTAGTCTGTAGTCAATTTAAGTGAATTAAAAGGCTTTTTTATTTTTATTTTATTTATGTATGTTTTTCCAGAATATAATATAATATTACCTATGTGTTTTTAGTTATACCCAATATGCCCTGCAGAGATAGACATCGCTTGTCATAACAGCTCTGAATCGTCAACTATATCAGGACCAGCTGACGATGTCGCCCAGTTTCTGAAAGAATTGACAGCGAAGGGAATATTTTGTAAAGAGGTGTCGTGCAGTAATATTGCCTTCCATTCTCGGTACATTAGTGTAGCTGGTAAGATATATTAAGAGAAATTAAATATTTTGCTAATACATAAATATACTTATTTAGAATTAACACGACGAACAAATACCATTTTTATGATGTACTTAAAATCAACCATACCATTCAAAATTATAATAACGTCAGAATTGCCTGAGTTTAGATATAAACTTTCAGTAACAACAGTTTAAACATCTATCTCATACGGTACGGCCCCACTCATCGCGAATGTATTCGGGCGATAAAACTTCGCCTTCGGCCTACGGCAAGAGTGCGTGGCCACCTCGCATCGTTGTAAAGCTTATCGCAATAAGCAAACGCAAAAAACAAAATGGACGCCGCGGTCGCTCGCAAGCATCATATATGAGATCCCTTCTTTTGAGGCCGACTTCTTTCGGGTTCCATAATATCGTCTCAGATTCGTAATTACTAATGAATTCTAAATACTCCAACACGTCCGCTACGTACGATGTCTGTGGGCCGAATGAAGTGTGAACTGTGGCCGCGCAAGTGAAGTTCTTCGTGAAAGAACCCTTTAATGTGCGAGAGTTTGCCAACAGCGGAGCGATATGCTGTCAACTTCGCCCGAAATGCCTATTTATTCACGAATATTTGGCTACATATCGACGCCCCCAAGCAATAAGTCGGTAATCATAAGATCCACAGGAGAAAGTATTTACTGTTTTTGTTAAATAACTTTTCAAACAGTGGGAATATTTAGGACATTGATGCATCAAATTAAAGCTATTTTTTGTCAAATATACCTTTGATGTCAATATGGAATTATCTTTGGCCAAAATCTAGCAAAGTATAAAAATATATATTACCGAAAATATGATAGGTAAAATATTACAGTAATACTACTTACAAGTTTATTGAAGTATATTTTTCGAACACTATCATAAGTAACATCATATTATTGACTTCTACAACGTTATTTTCTACCACAAGGATTATGCATAATGTGTTATTATGTTTTTATTGGCATAAAATTAAACAGATACGATAACAATATGGTTATTTATCATTTTTAATGCAGGGAAATTAATAGCACCACTTTAATGTAACCATTAATTACGAATTACTTTTTTACTAAGTGAAGACAGTTAATATTTTATGGTTTATAAGAAAAAAACATAGAATATGATCATTATAATAACTTTTAATAATAAAAAAATAATATTTAAGTTTATGAAACCTTCTTCTTCCTGCCCATTTCCCAAATTGCTTGGTGTCGGCGCAGTACGTCTACCAAACTGCTGATTGGTTTTGGCAAAAGTTTTACGACCGGCCGCCTGCCTGACATCAACCCTTTGGGAACGCTGTTGTTTACCAACGTCGTGCAGGAGACCCGAGGTGCGATAACCAGCACAAAATCGTCTTCTACGACACTTTTTTTTTTATTATCTTTCGACTTTCCTTCCTTCACGACTTTTTATCTTAATTTTATTTGCCGCGTCGTTTCAATATCCAATTTGGAGTTAATTTTGTTAAATATGTAATCATTCAATTTCATGTCGAACCATAATGTACACCAAAATTCAGCAATTTTTTCACTACTTTCACTGGCATAGCCAATTGCTTACGTTATTCATAACTTAATACTTGAAGAGCTCTTAAATTTACTTCTTTAAATGACACACACATATTCGGGGATGTTATGTTTACTCTTTCCAAAACGTATTCATTTTTGGTCCCTTGAATCTGAGAATCTTTTAAGGCATTTCAATAGTTTTCTTAAAAGATCAAAGTTTATTTTACTATATAATTTTTAATAAATTTTAACACATTTTTATTTTAACATTTGTTGTCAATTTTTTTCCTCTAAAACTAACTAACTAAGTTTATGAAATCGTTTACTTATAAAATTCACCTTCACGCGACGCTGATAGATTACTTTCTTTACAAGCGCAATCGCCTTAACCAAAAATACAGCAAAAGAGATTTTCCGTGAGACTAACGGGAAAAGAGTAATAGATAAGGATACATGGTGGTGGTCAGAAGAAGTAAAAAGTGTATTTAAAGAAAAGATGTCGAAATTTAAAGATTGGCAGAATGTTGATGAATGGAATTTAAGATTGAAAGTAGCAAAGAAGGAATAATTATGATGTATGATAAAAAAGCAGTTGCGGTAGCAAGAGCAATAGTAAAAATAAACTATATAACAATCTAGATACTCCGGCATAACAAGAATACCTTTATCGGTTCATTAGCTACTTCGTCCCAAGGTTGATTCCCCATACAAAATTTTATCCCCATTTTTACCTCCTTAAGGGATATTTCTGGCATTAAAAGTACCCTATATCTTTTTCAGGTCTCAAAAAATATTTTTACCAAAATTCAATCTAAATCGGTTTTGTAGATCCCGAGATTACCCCCTACAACCTCATAAACATGAAAGTTAGCATGAAAGTTATTGTGAGAGGATGGATGGTAGTTGTTAGTCTTATTGTTTAATAAGTTGTTGCAGAAAGAAGTCATACCGGACGAATTTAAAAATAAAGATGGTGTGCTGGAGTGCAACAACTATAGAGGAATAAAGCTGATGTCACATAGTATGAAAGCTTGGGAAAAAGTGATTAAACGGAGACTAAGACAAGAGAATGAAATTTCACAAAACCAGTTCAGATTCATGCCCGGTCGGGGACCAACTGATCCCATTTTCACAATCTACCAGCTATGCGAAAAGTACAGAAGTGTACACAAGAACTTGCACATGGTCTTAATTGACCTGGAGAAGGCATATAACCGGGTAACCATGAGGTTTGTCGTGGGCCCTTAGAGAGAAAGGCGTGCCTGAAAAGTAAGTGAAGTTGATCCGAGCGACGTAAGTCGATGTAGTAAATATAAGTCCGGTTCACAGTAGACTGATCCGATCATGCATTAAAAGGTTTAATGAAAGTTGGGTACTAACTACACGTTCAAGCACCTGGGAAAGAAAAGGAAGTATTGAAATTGATTTATAGTGACAAAACGATGAGGGATTGAAAATTTTCGTTACGGAAACAATGTAAGCTGAACAAGGTGCTGGAGGTTGATTTTAATCGGCCTGAATAGAGCATGAATGTCAAACAGATCTGTGAGTATGGATTTAAAAATTTTCAGCTTATCATCCATGGATGTGGCATTTAAAACTGAATTCCAGTCAATCACACTCAGATCATTCATAAAGCTGTCGTTATTGAAGTGCTTAAAGCAGCATCGCATAACCATCGTAGGTTTGGCTTTGGGTGGACGTAATTTATATGGCAGATAAACTAAGTCGTGGTATGAAAACGCGTCAGCTGAGAGCTTTCCATGCACATTAATGAGGTCAAGTGAAGAGACATTCATCAGATCCAACAACGAAAGAGTGCAATCAGGAAAAAAAATATTAAGATTAACGCCCTTGATAATGCTGTTCAAGCGCTTTGCTGAATAGTCATCCTTAATCAAACAGATATTAAAATCCCTCATGATTATAGAGTGATCAGCATTTGGGATAAGTCTCTCCATTAAGACCTCAAATTCGTCAAAGTAATCAACGCGCATTGGAGGACTATAGAAAACTCTGAATAAAAGTTTCAAACAACCGAAAAGAACTTCATTTATAATATATTCAGCTGACTCAGTGTATTGAGAGGGAGATTTGCTTAAAATATTAAAAGAAATATATGATCGAAGGTAAATCGCTACCACTCCACCACCCTTGTCAATTCTATCGCTCCTAATCGGATAAAATCCCGGCAAGGCAAACGAAGTAGAAGGATGACAAGGTTTAAGGAAACTTTCCGAGACTAGGATCGCATGTAGGTCTTTAACGTCAAACGTGCTTAATAGGTCCGGGTAGTGAGCTGGGATACTCTGGATTGATGTGGGCAACATTGAAGCTTTTTAAATTATGAGAGAAGGTAGAGGTTTCATTGAGGGGAATGGAAGGACCGAGTTTATTTAGTGGCAAATGTAGTTTTAGCCACGCCACCAACACAAGTTAGTGTGGAAAGACTCTTTAACCGACTTCCCAAAAAAAGGAGGAGATTCTCAATTCGTCGGAATCTTTTTTTATGTATGTTCACCGATTACTCGAAGACGCCTGAACCGATTTGGAATTTTTTTTTGTTTCAAAGGATATACTTCCTAGGTGGTCCAATATAAATTTTGTCGAAATCGGTCGAGCGGTATTTAAAAAAATCAACAATAAATATATTTATTAAATAAATTGTTTAATCGAGTATGTTAATAAAAAACTTTCTTCTTGCAAATTATCTGCTTATTAAGTCTACACTAAAAATTTAAAAATAAAAACTAAAAAAAAACGACTTACAGGAACTAAAATGTAAAAAATATCTAAACGGAGGTTTTCATTTAGAATAGATACGTAATCAGATATTTTCGAAGTAAAAATAACTGCCTAGATCATGTCATCTCTAGGTCTACAAATTGTACTGTTGCTATGGTTTTGGACTCATATATCTCCGATCATGCACCTGTTTTATTCTATTGTAACATAAAAGCACAAACACACTTGGCCAATCCAACATCTGATAAGATCGATATTCAGGGCACACTTTCTTGTCTAGAGCAATCTGATTTATCTACCATTTTTACATCTACTGATCCCAATGTTGTTACTGATATATTAATTGACACAGTCTCTAGCGCTATCAAAGCGAATACTAAAATACAGTGCTTATCTAACAAACTACGAATTATTAAGCCCTGGATAACTCCTGGTCTCTTAAGATGCATTCGCCATAGGGATAACTTATATAGGAAATATAAAAAGCATCCAGACAACTTAAACTTAAAAATTATATTTTTGCGTTACCGTAACTTTTGTAATAAAATACTCAAAAAAGTAAAACGAGAATATGAAAAGAACGAGTTCAATAAAGTCAAAAACAGTCCAGGTAAAACTTGGAGTCTAATTAAAAAAATTGTTAATATGGGCCAAAAAGAAAGAAGCTGTTTGGAAATGTTGGATATATGTAATCATCCATTGGAATCAGTAAATTCTGTTAATCAGTATTTTGCAAACGTAGGTAAAAACTTAGCAGACAATATAACACGTATACAAGAAACCTCGTATGATATTGACTTTCCTAGACTTAACTATCTAGATACAATGAGCCTATATACAGTGACAGAAAAAGAAGTAAAAACAGCTATCATCAGTTTTAAAGACAAAACTGCCACTGGTTGGGATGGTATACCCACATTTATTGTTAAGGCCACTGCGCATATTCTTATTCCGATCCTTACCAAATTATTCAATCTTTGCATCTCTAAAGGAATCTTTCCACGTTCTTTTAAAAAAGCAGTTGTACGACCTATTTACAAAAATGGTGACAGGAGCAGTATCTTTAATTATAGGCCAATATCTTTACTTACTGCTTTTTCTAAAAAAATTAAAAAATTCTCAACAAAAGGCTACTTATGTACTTGAATAAAAAAACATCTTAGCAGAAAATCAGTTTGGTTTCCGTAGTGGTAAATCAACAGAAGATGCAGTTCTTTATCTTTCAGCTCAAATAACTAAAAAATTTGATAATAAAGTTAAATCGATTGCTGTTTTTCTAGATCTTGCTAAGGCTTTTGACACTGTCTCCATATCTCTTTTGTTGAATAAGCTGGAAGGTGTTGGAGTTAGAGGCCTTGCATTTAAAATTTTCAAAAGCTATCTTGAGGAACGTCAGCAGTGTGTATGCATTGATAACTTTAGAAGTAGGCATGAATCTGTTAGTTTCGGTGTCCCTCAGGGAAGTATTCTTGGTCCTACCCTTTTTCTTATTTACATAAATGAGCTCTGCATGCTGCGCCTACCTAATAGTAAACTTTTACTCTACGCAGACGACACTTTATTTCTTACTAGCGTTAAAACATGGGCAGAAGCTCAGGCTTCCACAGAATTATCGCTAAGAGCTATTATAAGTTGGCTTGGTTGCAATCTGCTCACTCTTAATGTGGATAAGACAAAATACTTTACCTTAGCTCCCTCTACTCTAGTACAGACTCGACCTTGTTTGACAATTCGTGCACACGTCTGTTTACTGACTATTAAAGGGTGTAACTGTCCCGTGTTAGAAAAAAGTTCCAGTGTTAAATATCTTGGCGTCATAATTGATAGCAATATGACATGGAGACAGCAAATCCATTCAGTAGCGTTGCGACTGAGAAAGCTCATATTTATTTTCAGGAAATTAAGGAATGTGGTAGATTTTCAATGTCAAAAAACAGTATATTATACTCTGTGTCAATCCGTTATTTCATACTGCATTACGTGTTGGTGTGGATCTGCTAAAACGTTAATGTTGAGACTGGAAAGGGCCCAGAGAGCAGTTTTAAAAGTTATGTTCAATAAGCCAATCTATTTTCCCACGGCGGATTTATACGCTCTTAGTAATGTATTATCCGTAAGGAAAATTTTTGTTTTACAAACTGTTCTTCGAAAACACTCTGAGCTTCCTTATAACCCTAGTATATTATGTACTAAACGCAGATCCCACGCTAAATGTCAAATTAATTCTGCAAGAACCGCGGTTGCGAAACGTCACTACCCATATCTAAGCTGTTTACTCTACAATAAAATCAATAAATTATTGAATATATATCCGCTCACATCTTATCGTTGCAAATCTGTATGTTTAGCATGGCTTAAATCCATTACGTATGACGAGACTGAAGAAATTTTGACCATTGTTTATTAAAGAATTTTGCATTCACACACACATATACACACACATACACATACACATACACACACATACACATACACACACACACACATACATCATCATCATCTTATTGTTTTTTAGTTTTTATAAAATAGTTTAAATATTGTACGGAGGCGGGCGTTGATATCTGCAACGAAGTTTATACTTTTGCAGTATCATCGTAGCCATTGTTTACTGTATACTTATAGGAATTTAATACCAAATAAATAAATTTCATTTCATTTCATTTTTTACATTTTAGTGTCTGGAAGTCGGTTTTTATTATTTTTTTGAAAGTTTTTATTTCTTTTTAAAATTAGTTTTAATAAGAATTTCTTTAAAATATACCATGATTTATGACATATTGGTGGTAAAAAATAATTTGTTATATATAAATAATGCCATTACTAAAATATATAGTATTTATTTAATCAAAATATAAATGCTGGTATAGAGAGAGTAAATTATGCCTTTATATGTGAAGAAAATTAAAAACTAGTACTAATTAATTATTTAATTTTCAATGTCCATAAGTGATTACTGATTAGTCATCATTTGTAATCTGATGTTTTTGTTTTAATATTGGTACGTATTTTAAACTATTCTTTTTATATTATTATAACATGGAGGTAAAAATTCTAATTCGTGTATAAGTAAATGACCAAAATGATTTTTTTTATCGTGAAGAGTTTCTAATGTACAATGTTAACATTCTTGATTTATTCTGGTTTTCTATGATGATACCCACTCTCTAGTGACAAATTACAACGAAAGCTACAAAGTATACTTGTAAATGTGCAATTCTACACCCAACTGAGCCTCTCTTCTGCTTTGGGCGGCACATGAAATAATTATATTAATTATAAATTATTGCTAGTTATAGAAAGAGAGCAATGCGCTTTGCAAGTAATCGCGCAGCAAATCAAAACCAATAATATCGATAACAGAACTAGACGTGTCCTCGTCGTTATGTATTGAAAAATAACGTATAATATTTAGCGAATTATTTACTGTAAAAACATTGTTACTTACTAATACGGAATGCGTGTATTTAAAATAATTCGACAAAAAACCGTGTTAGCTTTTACCAAAAACTTCACGAAGTAATAAGCCGCCAATAACCCGGTAATCGCAACTTACCGAAATAAAGTATAAAATAAATTTCTGTAATGATGCGTAACAATACTTTTACCGTCATAATATTGTTTGTATATTGCCCTACAATAAAACTGTGTATTACTATAATATCTTCGTTAATATCGATAGGAAAGATCTGAAAAAAAAAATACTAAGATGTATTCAACTCCATTGATGTCAAATTTGCCATAACAGCATGAAGTCCATAATAGCATATTTCCGACTTATTGCTTAGGGGCGTCGATATATCGCGATAAAACGAATATTCGCGTTATCGCGATGTATCCGACCGAGATATTACTGTAATGGTAACTCGCTTATTTTTTAAATAATATCATAACAATCTCAGAGCAATTGAATAAATATTGTACAAAACTGTTTACCTTACAAGACTTAAATGAAGGAACTATCCTTGGTACCTGCTCTCCATGATGGATTCATAATCATTAAATATTACAAGCTATTTTTAAAATATAATAATATATTTTAATTTTGTTTAGCTCCAACTCTAAGAAACTATTTGAATGAGGTCATCAAGGAACCAAAATTGCGAAGCAGTAAATGGCTATCTACATCAGTGCCAGAAAATAGATGGGAAGAGCCCATTGCAAAATTTTCATCTCCTGAATACTTCACTAACAATTTACTGGTAGATTTATTCTTACGTTTAAACTATTAATTATGTACATGGTGATTCAAGTCTGTTTATTGAATTTTGGGCATTTAACACTTCAAAGAGTCTTGAAGTTATTTATGTATCAGTTTGAAGAAAATGACGAAATCTAAACAATGGGATAATAAGTAATTTTTCAAAATTTCCCTTATTCTTTTTCTAAAATAAAAGTGACCTAAGTTACTCCTTATAAAATCAGCTATATGCCAGTGTAATTTCTGTAAAATCAGACCAGCCTTTTCGAAGATTAGCCGAAACAAACAGACAGAAAACAAAAAAATTAAAAGTTAACTTTTATTTATCAGTATGTATAGATAAATCACTATAATAAGATCATTTTTCACTTCATCTATATAGAACATTAAATTAATATTAAATAAAATATTACAAAGATATTTAGTAAAGTTTCATCAAAATAATGTGAACATGTTTTACTCAAATGAAGATTTTATATTTTGTAGAATTATGTATACTTTGAAGAAGTATTACAACATATTCCGTCTGACGCGGTAGTTATTGAAATTGCGCCGCACGGCTTACTTCAAGCAATTTTAAAACGTGAGCTTAAAGACTGTTTACATATTCCTTTGACGAGACGAGGACATGAAGATCAAGTGAAATTTTTACTAGAAGCAATTGGAAAGTAAGATATTGTATCAAATACTGTATGCAGTCCTGAAACTATCAATATTTGATAACCATATTCTTTCAGAATATACGAAGCTGGGTATAATGTGAAGATTGATGCTTTGTATCCAAAAATTGAATATCCTGTTTCTACCGGAACTCAATTTCTATCGCATTTAGTTAAATGGGAGCATAGTGAGGACTGGTATGACATTAAAGTTATTTATTTAAGTAAAATAAAAACTTTTTAACAAAAAAATAAAAACCGACTTCAAACAAAAGCACTAAAAACTAAAAAATAACTGATTGGTAGTTTTCATTTACTATACATACCTAATCAAATATTTTCGAAGTCGGTGTGCTTTGGCTAAGTAATTAAAGCCCGTCGCCGTCGGTGCCAGCCCATACAAAGCAAAGCACACCGACTTCGAAAATATTTGATTAGGTATGTATAGTAAATGAAAACTACCAATCAGTTATTTTTTAGTTTTTAGTGCTTTTGTTTGAAGTCGGTTTTTATTTTTTTGTTAAAAAGTTTTTATTTTTCACTTTTTAGTGTAGACAGTAGTAGCAAAGTAAGAATTCTAAAGTGTTAGGCTTGTCAAACCAAACAAAATAAGCCCAAACTCAAAATATCTACTATTAGTCGTTGAAGAGTTCCACCTATCCATCTTCTGGCCTTACCATCAGATCAGGTCAACAATACCGAATCACTGTACTATCGACGGAAATAGAAACACTTGCAAAGTTTCAAGTCAATATGACAATTAGAAGTAGGTTAAATTCATTATTAGCTATTTTGCCACCCTTAGGGGTGGTATTTTTTTTTTTGAAATTTAAATGGGACCTATCTGGAAGAATACACTTTCAAACAAAACAAAAATTGTCTAAATCGGTTAATAAATGACGAAGTTCTGAGGTAACAAACATAAAAAAAAAACAAAAAAAAATACAGTCGAATTGAGAACCTCCCCCTTTTTGAAGTCGGTTGATAATTGATACATTTTAATACAACGCTTAACGCTAGTAGCTACGTTAATGAGAAAAAATATAACGTTATTATGAAAACATTATGTTGAATTGTACATATAAGCAGGGGTTTTGTTTTATTTTAGAAGTTATCACTTTTATTTTTTTAGGTTAGTATTGGAACGTTCCGAACAAATTGTTGTTTCAACTAGGAATCGTGATATCGTTATTTCTCTTATTGATGAAGACTATGCATGTATCAAGGATCATGTGAGAGATGGTGAGTATTAAAATATCTATATACATCTTTATATTCATATAATAAAATTGTAACTAAGCATAATCTGAACATTAATTTTTTTTTGAAAAATCTTATTGAAAAAGACATTATTATCGATACAGAGGCCGAATCTATAGTATTTAGAATTTTTGTCTGTTTGTCTGTCTGTGACCGCATCACGGAAAAATCACTGAAGGGATTTTGAAGAAATTTAGTATGATGATAGCTTATTATCCGGGTCAACATACAGGATACCTTTTACTGCAGGAAAATAATATCTGAGAAACCTATACTAAATGTTAAAACGTAAGTGGGGACGGACCCGAGCGGAGCGAGGGAGAGTCGCTAATCTCTCTCTCTCTCTAAGTCACAGGAAACTTTTATCGTATTTGCTATAAAACATTCGAAACGTCGGAAAAAAGCAACAAAATCATGAAGAATTTGCTTGCCTGTGTATTTTTTTTATTGCACATAAATCAAGTGTCAAGCTCAGATTACTATTATTATTATTATAAGCCTGTGTTATCCCACTGCAGGGCAAAGGCCTTCTTACTTTCATTCTACTTCTCCCTATCTTTGGCCACTATTAACCAGTCTCTCTGGAGGGAGTCCAACTCATCCTGCCATCTCCGCCTGGATCTACCACGCTGTCGTCTGATTATAACATAATTATTAAAATTAAAGTAAATAATAGTAAATAACATTAAAATACAACATTCGTCACCAAACTCAGATTACTTTATTATCATCTTTAAGTGACGGTTTAAATGAAAGTTACAGCTAATTTACAACATTAATAATCAAAAGATGCTCTCGTCGGAATCTTTTTTTTATGTATGTTCACCGATTACTCAAAGACGCCTGAACCGATTAGGAAATATTTTTTTGTTTCAAAGGATATACTTCCTAGGTGGTCCCATATAAATTTTATCGAAATCGGTCAGACGGTTTTTTTTAAATCAACAAATAAATTATTTTTTTAAATAAATTTCTTAATTAAACATGTAATTAAAAAACTTTCTTCTAACAAATTACCTGCTTATTACGTATACACTAAAAATGGACAAATAAAACAATATTTAAAAATATGACTATCTAATAGGTAAATGTGTGTTTTACGTACCGAAATATAATATTAGATTTGTTTTGCATCGGCTAGCACCGACTTCGAAAATATCTGATTTGGTATCTATTCTAAATGAAAACCCCCGTTTAGTTATTGTTTACATTTTAGTGCCTGGAAGTCGGTTTTTATTTATTTTTTTAAGTTTTTTTATGCAGCCACAGATCGACGTGATTTATAAATTGCTTGTGGGTCGAATTGCTATCAAATATGCTTAAGTCTGGAAATAAGGGCTTGCCTGTAGTTCATTTATGTTAAAATATTGCATGTACTTACAGGTATGATAATTTTACCTGAAAGCGCTATACTAGTATTGACGTGGCAAACGTTGGCTATGTCGATGGATATGAATTTTGAGGATCTTTCAGTAATATTCAAGGATATAAATTTCAACACTCAAGTAGAATTAAAACCAGAAAACTTACTAAATCTTAGCATTTCTATAACAAAGAAGAAAGGCAGATTCGAGGTAATATTATCATAGTAATAAAAAAAAATGACGTTTACACGCCAAACACACTAATATATTTTTAATTGTTTCTTTATTAGATACATGATTCAAAAGATTTCCAATTGATAATTTTTAGATCTTTGAAACATCTGAAATTTCTATTCAAACATGTTGTTTAAAGACGGAGTAAAATAAATGTTTTTCAGAGCTCACAAAAAATAAATCTAATAAAAAATATACATTTCAGGTAGTTTATAACAATGAAATAATTGTAACTGGTTACATAGTCGAATATGAAGATGATCCAATGAGAAATGTTAACCATTCTAGCACCAACACAATAAACGACGTAACTTTGTTTGCAGCAGATATTTACAAATTCCTTAACCTTCGAGGTCACGTGTATACGTATGTATTCAATATATAAAAAAAACATTGTATGTTTTGATCGTATCATTAGTACTAGAATTACTACTTTTTGTATGTCATAACATACAAAATTAAATAATTTTATTACATATGACAAAATCACATTTATTTATATTATAATTTACAGCTACAGTTTTACAAACTTCACTTTATATCAAGCCGAGTCGACATATCTATCCATTAAATATACTAATTAATTATTGTACTATTATAAAATCTACGTAATTCAAAGTTTATTACTCCATAATTTAACTATTTCAGAAACCAATTTCAATCTCTTCATTCGTTAAACCTTAAATGCAATGAAGCATACATAAATTGGACTGGTGATTGGATCACGTTCCTTGATGGCTTAATACAGATCAACATATTTGCAAATAAACACAATGGTGTATCTAGACCGAAACTTATAGAGAGTTTGACTATTGATATTTTTGAGCACACCAGAGGACATTACAAATCTAACATTGATGGCGTTATTTGCTATAAAGCAGACTATTATGAGAACTTTAATATTCTAAGGTAAGATATTGTCAGGTTTTGTTTTTAATAAAATTCTGTTGGAAAGATAGATGTAGTAGATTTTTCTCAAACTATTGTGTTGTTACGTTATTCTTGCAGAAGTGGCGGTGTTCAAGTTGTGAATGTTAATTTTGAAAATCTTATCCCTCAGCGGGTCGAATCTGATTTCTTAGGCTCGTTACAGTTTTGGCCACACTTTTCAGAAACAGAACTCGAAGTTAGTATTTGTATTATTTTATTAATTATATAATAGTACATTACTTATTAGGACAAATTATATGATAATAAATATTTTTACAGTTAAATACAGCTATCGCAATAAACATGCAAATTATTGCTGATGCTACTCTGCAAAGGGGCATTAAAATAACAGAGCTTAGAACATCAAACATAAATATCATATCAAATGCTATACAGGACGTATCAACTCAGCTCCCTATAAAACTGAGATTTAATCATATCAATATTGAAAATGGAAAACTAAATCTTCTGAGGAAACATGATTTATCTCAGTCAGAAGTATTAGTAGTTTATGACTTTGTAATGGATACCGAGGTACTTATTGTTGTTCTGTTTCATCTACATATTTGATATATAATTATAATATATTCCTACCATAGCTAAGCAATGAAAATCCTTAGATTTTCTAGTGAAAACAAACGTATAGTCTCATAAAGATCCAAATTAGTATATTAAAATTGCTAATTTGGAACCACTTCTAGCGTTAACTCAGTATAGTTTTTATTTAAAAATTTTGAGGATTGTCATAGTAGTATAATTATAATACAATAGCACTATGAGTCTATGTTCTCAGTATTTTTGATATATTCTAATTAGAAATTTAATAAGAATTATTGAGTGTATATTTTAACAAAAATATTGAAATACAAATTAAACGTATTTTGTTTGGAAATTAAGAACAATTAAACTATTCCCATTTTTCTAAATTAGACTAAACTTTTGAATTTTCGTTTAAAAACGTCAGATCACTTATTGGGAAGACTCGAACATAAAGTTGTAAAGATGATTACGAAATAAAACTATTTTTATTTTTTTTATTTTGAATAGGTCATGTAAAATTCTTTTTATTTTAGATGATGGCTGCAATATATGATCAGCTACCAAGCAATGGATTTGTTTTTTCGTTAGAAAAAAGAAACAATAAAAAATACATCATTCAAACTGACTATTTTAATATTTTAACTGTATTTCCTACTTATTACGATTATACATTAGTTTTATTAAACAAAGTTGAAGTTAATCAAGTTGTAAAAGACAAAGTTGTTGTAAAAGTTGATGATGATAGCTTCTCTTATATGAATACATTAAAAAAGGAGCTTAACAATAATAAGAGGATTGTACTACTTTACGAGAAACAAAACTATTTTGATCTAAAGGGTAAGAATGTTATAATATTCTTTTAATTTTTTGACCACACAGATATAGAGTCACACTTCTATGTGGTTCTGACTTATAGACAGCTCTTTGGGACTATTGTGTTCTGTTATTATTATTCATTCTAAGACAGTATGAAGTTTAGTTTATAAAGTATATGATATACTAATTAAACTTAGTATGTATAGCTCTCTATTATGTTAGAAGGCAAAAGTCTGTTCATTGATTACTTTTTCTTAAAATAAATAAAAGAATAACTGTTTTCCTTTTTGTGTTATGCGTCACAACAAAATAATGAATTGAAATATGCTAAGGTTTATTATTATTTCTGAATTTTTAGGTTACTTGAGAAGGCTACGGGAAGAATATCGAAATCAAATTAGTTTGTATATGATACTAGATGAAGGATCGCCAGATTTTAATCTTGACAGCAATTTCTACATTAAACAGCTGCAAAAGAATCTACCATTTAACACACTGTATAATGTAAGGAATGTGTTAGCTACAATGTTCTGATTAAATTTTAAATGTTTTATCATAGAACCTGATATAATTTGATTATTATGTTTACAGGGTGAATGGGGAGGATACTATTACACAACGTTCAATAATTACAAAGATATTCCCAAAAATTCTAAACTTAGTCTAACAGAATTTGGAAACATAAATAGTTGGCACTGGGAGGAGATAGACAATCTGAATAAATCTAATACTGTTGAGGTACAAATATATACTGCTTTACTTACCGAAATATTTTTCGTAAAAAGCTCAAGTGGCTCTCCATTCGTCTTCGCAGAAATACTCATATACGAGTACTTCATCTTCTTTACTGTATTCTGTTCGATCCGTCCACTCCAAATTACCTTAAAGAACGTTTTGAATTCCTTGGAGATTCCCATTCTCGACTTCTGCGTTCTGCCCAAAATTTAATCCTTAAAATTCCCTCCCACTCCTCTACCTTTTATGGCAACTTCTTTAGTGTTACGGCCTGTCGCCTTTGGAACTCCCTTCCCCGTAACGTTAGGGATGCGAAAACTCTAATGATTTTTAAAAAAACGTCTAAAAGAACACTTTTATACATTTTAATTCCTTCCGATTGCTGCATTATCATTTATTCTTAAATTATACGTACGGATATATGTATAGCTATTATCCTTATTTGTTTGTGTTTTATTTATTTGGTTAAACTGATATTATTATTTTATTTAATTTATTTATTACTTATTATCATATTATTTATATTAGTTAGATTTACCTAACTCATATATTTGATATACGTATATAAAAGATCATATTATGTATAATGTATGTATATATTCTTAAGGTAGTTATCATTTTTATTTTTCTTCTGTTATTTGTTCACACCCTTCCACTTCACACTTTGCTATTTTCTACACCTAAAGATTTCCTGGAAGAAATCGCTGTTATAGCGATAGGGCCGCCTCTTGTGCATTTTGCTACTACTGCATTGTTCTTTTTTAGTTAAAGAGTTATTATTATTATTATTATTATTGAGCATTTATTATATTATGTAAAACCGTTTTTTATTGTTATAGATAATCTTATGAATAGGGGAATGTTATTGTAATTACAGGTGCAATATGCAGGATTATCATTAAAAGACGTAGAAAAAGTATTCTGGAGACCAGTTAATAACAAAAAAATATCTTTTGGTATGGACTATAGCGGTTTTGATGCTAGGTAACTGTAACTAAGGCCACATAATCACTAAAACAATAAATAAAATTAATAATGACACAAAGAAAGCGTAACACTTACTTTTATATTTTAGGGGTAATCGGGTGATGGGAATCATTGCCGATGGTGCACTTTCTAAGGAAATTGAATATGATTTAGATTTACTTTGGCCCGTTCCAAAAACTTGGTCTTTAGAAGAAGCTGCGACAGTTCCTCTACCGTACGCCCTCGCCTATTATTCTCTGGTAAAGAAAAAATAATTTATATCATAATTACACTACGGGACTTAACGCGTGAATTCGTAAGTGGATATATACCTTGTTACCCCAATGTTTCCTTGTGAAGATCAAGTAAGTCACTTCACAAGGATGAGGGTGCCTGTGAAAAACATCTCCGATCGTAGCAGGTGATGCCGTACACCACCAGTCTGACCGTGACCACGGCTGGTGCAACCCAGTCGAAACGTCGGGTATATAGCCACTTACAAATTCACGCGTTAAGTCCCGTAGTGTAATTATTATATAATTATGAAACGCGTTAATTTAAAAAGTTATAAAAATAATTGAATTCTTAATAATTGATAATTAAAATTCATAATGAAATTGTTCACATTTTTTTTTCATTCGTATATGATGGTAGATGTTTATCTTTTTTTTAGGCACTTAGAGGAACTTTGTATGCAGAAACAACAGTTTTTGTTAATGGTGGAGCTGGAGCACTTGGACAGGCAGTAATATCGATATGTCTAAGTTTAAATTGTGATATATTTACCACAGTTAGCGATTCTGGCAAGAAAGCGCTTCTACTTAAACTGTATCCTACATTAAAAGGTACGTTTGTCTAATTTCTACAAATCTAGAGTTCATAAAAAGCGCATTTGAAAGGTTACATTTTGATCAAGTAATTAAATCAAATAATGTTTTGAAACACATTTCGCTATACTAAAACAACTAATCCCATAAAATATAGTCTAGCTCAATAAATAAAACAGAGGAAATCTAATATATTATGTGTTGAAATTCATTTGAACTATATTAAGTGACCTTATATTCTTTAGATTAATAATGACATACTAGTGTATTAATACGCGTTTTATAAAGACGAAAATACGAGTATTTCGTTCAACATTTGAATCTATATCTGGTGGCACCGCATTGCCCCTGCCAAGTCGAGCTCCTTTTCTCGAAGTCATTCAGGACATTTTCCACACCCTTTTAACTTCGTTGTGGATAAAGTTAGAAGCCTAAACTTTCAGTAACTAATAGGACTTAATACAACTATGTATATTTCCAAAATAAATTCAACTTGCACTTGTAGTTTAAAAACTATTGCATGTTAAATTTCTGTAATTTCGTCACTCACTCGCCAATCACCAAACTTCTAAGGTATACACACTAGCACACACCCGAGCTTCAAATTTTGAACACAATTAGTGTTTAGCCTATAACGCAAGGAAAAACTAAAACATTCCCTAATTTCAGTCCCGTTCTCTAGATAACACTGAACTGCAACTGAGTAAACTGCAACTGAAGTAACTTTGTAATCCTATACATAGTATACAAATAAATATGCGACATATGCGATTACAAAGTTATTTGTGCAGTTTATATAAGTTTTCTAACTTAGACTACCCAAATGGATAGCTAGGTAAATAGAGTATAGTACAGTAAATCACAGATATTATGCGTAAGATGTATATAGCTAATAACAACGCCTAAAATAATATTTTCGCATTTAAAAAGTAGTTTTCTAATACATGACAATTTTTCTAATACAATAGTTGCAATGTAAACAGTATTATTTTTATATTACCTCTGTTCCTTTTTATTCCACTTGCGGCGAAGCCCAAAGGATGGTTATGTGTTCGACCTGTATGTATGCTTGTATGTCTCCTTCTAAGTACTAATCTAACTTTTATTCGTCTATTTATTAATGTTTATATTGCAACTATTGTATACATATATTAGAAAACTATAATTTGACAAATGCTCAAGTATTATTTCAAGCGTTCTTAGTAGCTTTATATATTTTATGCATATACTAATGGGTACTTAAATATAACGTAAAAGTGTATACTAATATTCGATTACATGTTGTTTATAATGAAATGATGAAAATATATACCTAATTACGAAACAACTAGACGCTTACTTAATTATGAAGCAAAGCCAGTACGTTTTCTTTTGCGATGTTGATATGAATTTGAAAACTTGTGAACCTATTCCTTTCTTCGGGATTTACCTACAATGCCGCATAGACACATAAATCTACACTTTTTATTAAACTAATCTTTAAGTTCAATATCAGTATCAGGGTAGGTATTTAGGGTGGACAATGAAATTAAAATATTCGTTAAACTAATTATACCTTTTATACCCAATGAATAATAAAGTAGTATTAAAGCCCAGAAATCCGCAATTTCTGAATACAATAGACTTTAAAGCATTTTTGCCGTTCAGACTTGTAAAAACTTGTTACATCATAGCCTCTGAGAAAAGCCCACAGAGACAGCGAATAGTACAAGAAAAAAATAACACGAGAATTATTTACAAAAAGAAATGAGATCCCATCAAAAAAATTATATAAAATAAATGCAAGTCACTAAACGTAGTTCTTCTACCGTAAAAAGTTGTGCGATTTTTACATGATATGTTCTTGATATACATATATTCCTTTAAGTTAGGTGCTTTATAGATTGAGAGTTGGTCCTTCGTCTGATCTCATCGATTCTTTTAGTCATACTTTATAAGATGCTTGTAAAATAACTTCATTACACAAAATCATATTTAAAAAATAAGAATGAATGTCATACATGAGAATCGAACATAAGTATATGATCTGCATATATCCGCCTCTCTGTTCCATCGAGTGTATTGACTTTATGTGACTATATAAATGTGTTATCTACTCAATAACACCTGGCTTCTGAAGTTTATTGCGAATATAAGCGTTATCTCTGGGTCTATAAGCTTTTGTATTTTCGTTAAGAATATCTGCTTTTAGTTGCTTAAATCTCAATTGATGTCTAAGTCTTCAGTTGTCTAACAGCAAATTTCGAAATGATCTTCAAATTCACATTCTGCATATTTATAATTTCTGGCTTCACATTTGTTAAAGCTGTGTCTATTGTGCTTACTGCATGTGCGGCATTGGTCTTGACGTACTTTGCATGTTGATTTTCGAGTGTCTTTTTCTTTTCTGATCCTATGCCCCATATTTTGCTAGATATTCTGCTAATGTTCAACACTCTGTATTAATATATCCGCTTCAGCTAGTTCCCTAGACTGAGCAATAGTAAATAATTGTTAAAAGGCTACATCTGTTTTTTTTTCGTTATCAGTATCTATACGTTGAGTAGAAAAGTAAAAAATGTCAATTTTGATAACAGTATTAACGGGAATGTTCTGGAGAAAGTCAGTCAAATCAGTGACCTCGGGATCATTTTAGAAAGCAAACTAAGTTTTATACCACATTTGGATGACATAAAACAAAAATCACTGAAATTGTTAGGTTTTATTTTGCGAGCTTCAAAAGAATTTAAAAGGTCCTCAACCAAAATAGCGCTGTTTAATTCGATGATACGTAGTAAACTTGAATATTGCTTTGTTGCATGGAATCCTCAGAATCAATTTCATAAAGATAGGATAGAAAGAGTGCAAAAGACATTTTTACGGCAATTGGCGTACAGAGATATGTACTGAAACAAAGTAAAAGCTATTACGATCATCTAAAATTATATAAATATCTGTCTCTATTAAACCGTAGAGACTTAGCAGATCTTTGTTTTTTATATAAAATTATAAATGGAGGTATCGATAGTCCAAATTTGTTAGAGTAAGATTAGCAGGAACCAACGCAAAATGCTAGAAGTCACATTAAAAAGAAGCAAACTTTTAAACAACGATTTGCTAGGAGTAACCTTGGCAAGGCCGCCCCTATAAATAGAGTGATCATTACATATAACAACGTATTTATAAATGCAGGTTTGGATATTTTCCAATAATCAGCTTCATCTTTTAAACGACAATTTAAAAAAATGTTCACCACATAGAATTTTCTCTTATAGTTTTTATTGTTATAGGCGTAATTTGTTTTAATTTTTTGTGTTGTCTTATTTTTTTAATCTCACAATGAAATATTTTATAGTTCGTATTTTTTATTTATATTTTAGTAGTTTATAATTTTTAAGCGGTCTTTAGTTTTATATGTGTTTTTTTGTATATTTTTTAGTCATGTAAGTTTTTAAAATTACTACTTTCAAAGAATGTTTTGTATTGTTTTTACGTTCTTCTTTATATATTAGGCATGTTGAGTTAGCCTGTGAGGTATACAATTTCTATCACAGATACTTAAGAGTGTGCTCTAGAATAAAAAATATTATAATTTACAACGTTGGCTTCCTATTTAAATAAATAAATAAAATTTTGCCTTAGTTCAATTTGCAATTGTTGATGATTTAGTCCTCTGTAGTTCCCCCCCAACGTGCGTTGACCTTGTCGTGGTGGGGGGGGCTCAGTAGTGCCCGGCAATCCAACCGGGCGCGAAGCTAAGAAACGCACAGGGAGGTTGCCCACTTCGGTGGGCGGTGGGAGGTAGCCCTCTTCGGAGGGCGGTGTACCATGCGGGTTGCTCCTGGTACTTCTCTGATAGCAGAGTGGACTGTGGAGCAACCCCATGGTTGTGGTGGTCTGCTTCGGCAGACCTGCCGTCGGGGCGTCGTAGTTGAATGCGCAAGGTTTTGTTGGGTTTTAGTGGGTAGTACTGGCTGTATTACGCCGGTGAGTCCCACACGTCATGCGTAAATGCATTTCCCAACGTTAAAAAAAAAAAAAAAGTCCTCTGTAGTAAGTGTAACTGTCGTTCTAATATAGCATCGTCATGACCACAATTTTTGTTGAGTTCTTTCAAAATATTGACGAAATGTTCCATGCTTACACAAGTATCATTGATACAAGACTAAATTTCTGTCAAAGCCTTATATCTTGTTTTCCGTGTTTTATATATAGCTAGTATTTTATTTCGAATATCATCGTTGGAAGAATTTTTGAATGAGAGTATTAGTGCTATTTTAATTTTGTGATATGTTTCTGGTGTTAATTATGATGATAAAAGGTCTTTCAGTATAACTAAGTAACTCTTACCCCCTATTCTATATTTTGCTTCGAAATAGTTGATAAAATTTTCAATTGACGAGCAACTTGTTCTCTACTTTAAAATTATTAATGATGGCTAATTTATTCATTTTCTTCGGCGTTGAGGTAGTTACCTGCGATTCCATTCCATTGTTGTTCAATTGTGTGGGTGTGATAATTCGTGTTTCTACTAAAAATGTCAGAAATTCTTTTATTTGTTCATGCTGTGATACTTGGTTGCAAATAGGTCTTTTTGTTCAGTGTTCATTTTTATTTATTTCCTCATCACCAATAAAATAACTTCAATACACAAAATCATTAGACATTTTTTATTAGTTTAAAAAATATTAATGTTATACATGGGAATCGTACATAAGATTATTTTTTAAAAATACAAACAACTCGGATCATAAAACTAAAGGAATACACTATCTACCTGTGACTATGCACACCCTCGTGCTTTATATGTACACTCTTACGCAGATGTCTACTTCTGTGAGATTCGCCGGCAAAGATTTATGGTTTATAAATTTTTTAAATAACTTTTTTTTTGTTTCAGAAAATCAAATTTTAAATTCAAGATATGATGACTTTTATGCATTTGTTATGAAGCAAACCAAAAACAAGCGGTGCAACTATGTAATCAACTGTGAAAGCGGTATATTCCGCAATGTAAGTCAACAATACTTCTTAAATATATTTTATATTTTTTTGTTGTACATAGCATTTTAGTAGAACTCACGGCTTCACCCGCAATCAAACTGCAAAAAAAAAACAAAAACTCTTGGCATCTCTGACCGAATTTCAGCATAATGCTTATCCTTTAAAAGATTTAGATGAGTTCCAGTAAATACTCCATTTATTATCTAAATGGGATTTTGCAACAGACAACTGATCCTGAGCAGAATTGGAAAAATATTCTAAAGAACCACACTGTGTAGCAGCCTTAGCACATGAATCTGCAGTTTCATAGCCAGGAGTCCCGAGTAACCTGGGATCCACACTAAACGCATCGCTAAACCTTTACAATGATATGAGAACAGAGCTTCACGAATCCTCAAAGTAACAGAATACCTTGATTTGCAAAAAAATAGGGCTCTCTTTTATAGCCATCAGGCATCTTAATGAGTCAGTAAAGATTACAGTCTGTTAAAGGTCGTGGGAAAGGGTGAACGAGATTGCTTCAAGTATAGCAACAGCCTCAACTTTAAACATTGATGATTGGAGAGGACATTTAAATTGCAGAATAATTTTGAATTTCGGAATCCAGCACGCTGATCCAACACAACCATCCTTAGACAGATTCTATGCGTCAGTAAAAATAAGGATGTAATTCGACTAATTTTGATGAATCATGCAATTTTGTCTTGGTATCAGGAGCATCCTTGCCCAAACCAATATCTGTGACTATAGGAGAGATCATAGCTAAGGTATTGTAGGGTGAGTGTAAAAGAGGATTAGAGGAAAAACAAGACATACGATGTGGGAGTTTGGTAAACCTAAGGAAACTTTGTAGTATATGGACATGGTTTATTATCGGGGTTATCTTCTGATAAAATATGTAATTTAGGCAATAAGATGTGGGAGGATAGTAAAAAATTTTTACCGACATAGCGATCAGACGGCAATTGCCGCCGGAGAGGAAAAAGGGGGTCAACACACTCGACTTGCTTAGGCATTAGTGGGGGAAGACCTCATTGTAACTAAAATTAAACGAAGGCGTTCGTATTGTATTTTATTGAATATAGGCGCCTCACCACTCACCAGACAGAAATTAAAAGCCTTGCTTTTTGTAGGATTTGCTCAGTAATAAGAAAATGTTTACACTTGCTGACGTTTGCATAAACGGATAAGCTACACTGGTCTAAACTAACCCAAGGAGGCTACTACTGTTGATTATAATTGGATGATCTTATACATTCCTTAACACGGTGAATGTAATAAAAGAGATATAATATAATATTATTATATGTAAAATAAATAAAGCATATTTCAGTCAAATGAATAAAATTATATGCAATTTAAATACTGAATAATTTTTATATAATATAATTTTCAGGCTGCAATAAAATGCCTATCATCTCTTGGCGCCTATTTAGATTTATCTAATAAGGACATGATAAACAACAAACCCTTGGGCATCGCATTTTCAAAAGAATGTAAATGTTACTATAGTGTCAATTTTGGTAGTATTTTTGAACCGAAATATTCACATGAAAAGAAAGTAAGTAATGAAATATTTAATACTAAAAACATTATATGACCTACTGGACCAATCGAAATCCGTTTATTTTTAAGAGAAAAAAATATTTAAAACCTGAAGTTTATGAATTTAAAATGTTAGCAGGTATATAAGGAATAGAAATTCGTAAAATTCCCCCGATGCCCGGCTTCTTCTTAGACACGGGGGGATGCAAAGCGTTGAAAAAATAGTTTTTTTTTTCAATTTTCGGCTTACTGTGACGTTCTATCGAAAAATATTTTTTACAAAAGTTGTAGGTCTAATAAAAATCTACAAGTTTTATACTTACACTTTTTATAATAACCACAAAGTTTTCGTGATATTTGCAAAAACAAGTTTTTAACTTTTCTTGGTTTTTTATTTGTAACTTCTAGGATAATCTTTTGATTTTCATGAAACTAAGGCAATATTATCTTCAAAATACATTTAATATATATTAAAAAAATTGAAATATTTAGCCATTTCTGAGAAAAGTGTGTGTGTGTTATGGTTTCGAGAGGCTGAAAATCAACGCCAACTTCAAGTGGACATTTACATTTAAAAAAAAATCATTCAATTTTCAGATAGGGCTCATTCTTTTTATCTTGAACTCTTCTTTTTGAAAAAAATAAAAACATTGTATGGTCGTCCTGTAAAAACACCTTAAAAAATTAAGAAAAAAATTGAGAAATTAATATAATTTTTACTTTATAAACATACCATTTGTATAATTGAAGACGTGTACTATATTGACCAAATTTTTATAAACTAATTACATCAATGTATTTTTCGTAAAAAAACGAAAAAAATTGTATCCCTAAGTTTTAAATATGACGCTTATTATTTATAAAATTTCAAATAACAGATGAACCAAAGTTATAGATTTGTACTAGACCTACGACTTCTGTAGAAAACATTTTTCGATAGAACCTTATAGTAAGCCGGAAATTGAAAAAAAAAACTATTTTTCAAACCTTTGCGTCCCCCCATATCTCGGGGGACAGCTGGGCATCGGGGACATTTTACGAATTTCTATACCATATATTTTAAAATCATAAAACTTCAGGTTTTGAATATTTTATTCCCAAACCGGATTCCGGTTGTACTATACTCTTGGTCTTCAATAAGAACTTAATGGTACAAATTCGGCAAATAAAAATATGTAAGAAAATAAAAAAGATATTTGAATTGTCATAATATTGTTACCCTGTGGGTCTTTGATATTTAACGTCTTTATTTTAGTTATTACAATCAATGATAGCAGACGGCATCGCTACGGGAGTCGTTAGACCACTTACTTACACCATGTTCTCATCTTCCGAAGTATCCAGGGCCTTCAAGTTTTTATCTTCTAGAAGTCATAGAGGAAGGGTTCTGTATGATTTAAGAAATCTGCTAAATTCCAATGTGATGCCAAGGTAAAGTGTATCTGGACGTATCGTAAAATTAATACGAAATGTCTTATTAATTATTTTATTATGGACTAAATGGATTGATTACAATTTTGTAACGGTTATATCTAAATTAACCTAAGCCTATACATTGAAAATGGGCAGTTGTAGCCTTAGTCGTAACCGAGTGAAGTGAGTTGAAATCCCGGGTCTCACACCTCTGATATTTTCATGTGCGAATCATTTCCAACATGATTACCACTTGTCTTAACGGTGAAGGAAAAACATCGTAAGGAAACCTGCATGTCTGAGAGAAGCAAGTTTTCAAAAGACATGTGAAGTCCACCAACCCGCACTTGGCCAGCGTGGTGGACTATGGCCTGATTCCCCTCGTACTGAAGGGCGGCCCGTACCCAGCAGTCGGACGTTAAAAAGGGCTGAATACATACATTGAAAATTTTTGTTGGTCCACATATCCGTAAAGTACCAAATAGACGCAGATGGGTTGATTTCGTAACACTTTTTCTTGTACGTATTTTCTAATTTTTCAGGCTTGTATTGAATCCTCAATTTGCATATGTCGTAGTGGGAGATCAAGATGAATTATGTGTTAGTATAATGGATTTATTAATAAAACGTGGCGCGAAGAAAATTTTCTTACAAATAAGATCTAAAGTGGTTTCTCCGTTCATAGAGGCTAAGATGTTGTAAGTACAAAAATGCATTTAATAAAAGACACCTATATTCTTACAAAAAAATATTCGTAATCGAAATTAATATTCCTCGTTGTTTGTTCAAAATAATAAAACTAAGCCAGTAAACAATAAAACATTCAGGTTAGTACTCCAAATTGAACTTCGATCAACAATACTACTAGATATCGGGTCGGCGTAAAAAATTCGTCTCGGTAAATATGAACTCATTTGAAAAATAAGCGTATATTTCGATTAGATCTATTGAAACACTGCCTACGCTGGCACGTTCACAATGCCGCAATATATATTTAAAAAATGCAAAAATAATACGCGAAGAAGAAATTTTTCATAAGGAGTGTCTTATTTTCGGTAAATACATGTAGTAGATTTAACCCACGAAATAATATAAAAATGAAATTATGAACAATTTAAAATCCGCTTAGAACTTAGGCTCAGGTCGGCCAATACATGCGCCAATACAAAGAAGCAAACAGAAACAAAACATATCGATTTAGCTCACAAAGCAAGAACGGGGGAAGAAAGTGCTTTATGTTTTGTCTTGGTTCGTTAGTATACAAATAAAGCAGTATAAGCATACAGTATATTCGCACGGACAGAATTTAGCTTTGATTTTGTATGTGACACGTTATCTAGTAGTATTGTTGATCGAAGAAATTGAATTATTTTATTTCAGACTATGGATGACTCTAGGTATTGAGGTAAAAGTAAGCCGTTATGGAATTGAGGACGAAGAAAAATGTAGACTTTTTATAAGTGACACTGCAAAATTAGGGCCAATTGAAGGCATATTTATTTCTCTGTACAAGATAGCTGCTCCAGCATATATAAATGTGCCAAGATCAATATCTAATTTGGATAAATTATCAAGAAACATGGATTACCTTAGGTACAATTACATTTTATCAGTACAAAATATTGCAGCAAAATTTCTGCGAACACAAAAAGTTTATGTATTAATTGAATTATATAATATTGCAGATACTTTGTAATACTAGCAAGTAATGTTAACAGTTCGGAAGATGAACTTGTGTTCTCAATGTGCAGTAAAATATGTCACTATCGTAATAACATTGGTTTGAATGCTCTTCTATGTCGAGCGGATTTCGTAGATGAGGTAAGTAACGGGAATAAGCACCTTGTTGTTAGAAATTTGATACAGCTCATATCGAAATTACCACATTTGTTATTATTTATTGATGTTCTATCATGCAAAATAAAAAAATGTATAAATGTATAAAAGAGTCTAATTAAAAACAAATTGTCTGAGAGAGATTTTTATTCAATAATTATTTGTATTATTATATGGTATCGATATATAATTTTGTCTGGATTCTCTGGATTTTGCAACTATGAATAATTTATTGTTTGGTTTATTTACATCATTTTATAAAGCTCATTTTATTAGGCTTTTAATTATTTTTTTTGTTTATTGTGGTCATCAATAAGAACTCAAGAAATATTTTTAATTTTATTACAGTTCGAAGGTCTTGGCAAAAACCAAACAACGTATCAATCGATACACCAAGTTTTAAATAGCATGGAAAATAGTATAAAACAAAATTGTAGCAATGTGATATCATATAATACAAACAAAAATGCTAAGATGGAATATTCAAGAAAATTAAATGATATTTTAGGTAGGTATGAATATTTCATATGTTGCTTTTATCTTTTTTTATTATAATATTAGAAAACAAAAATTACTTTTTGTCTTCAGGCAAACAAACAAACGGAACTAAATTAGATATAAATGCATCATTACACGATATTGCAATAGAGAAGCTCGCAATAAAAGAAATAAGAGGTTTAATTTTAGAACACTATCAAGTTGCAGTATCTGAGAGGAAACTTATCCAAATGTCTTTATCCAGGTAAAAAATATCAAAATGGTAAATAATCAAAATGCACAATAACTTTTACTTCAACCATTATTTAAAAAAAAGGATGGATGGATGTATTACAGGATAACACTAGAACGGCTAAACAGATCTAGATAAAATTTGGCCTAGAGATATATATATATATATATATATTGTAGTCTGAAATAGCCCAAAGCATAGGTTTGTGTCATATTTATCCCGGAATAAGGTACGGTTCCCGTGGGATACATTTATTTTTGTTTAGGGACACACCCGAAGCGAAGCGAGGGAGAGTCGCAAGTAGTAAATAATAATTAAAACTAAACCTATATCACACTTACATAAACGCTTACTTTCAGTATCCAGAATGTTGAATACTATTTAGACGACTTAAATAACAATATCGGGCTTGATGCTATAATCTCGTACGTCAATGACGATTCCTATGAAGCATGTGATTCATTCAAACAAATGTTAACGTTGACGAATAATATTTCAGAGGTAATTTTAAAACTAAATATATATTTCAAAGGGTACAAAATAAATTGCTAGAAGACAGGACTAGAAGGATAAAAGGGCAAATATTTATTTGTATAGACTGTAGAAATGCTTAACTCGGACTGGTTGTGATCAAGTGCTTTTTTTTTTTTTTTTAACGTTGGGAAATGCATTTACGCACGACGTGTGGGACTCACCGGCGTAATACAGCCAGTACTACCCACTAAAACCCAAAAAAACCTTCCCCCGTCTTAATGGGGCGTCGCAGGATCGCTTACGCATTCAACTACGACGCCCCGACGGCAGGTCTGCCAAAGCAGACCACCACAACCATGGGGTTGCTCCACAGTCCACTATGCTATCAGAGAAGTACCAGGAGCAACCCGCATGGTACACCGCCCCCCGAAGAGGGCCACTTCCCACCGCCCACCGAAGTGGGCAACCTCCCTGTGCGTTTCTTAGCTTCACGCCCGGTTGGATTGCCGGGCACTACTGAGCCCCCCTACCACGACAAGGTGAACGCACGTTGGGGGGGGGTGATCAAGTGCTCCATTAAGGACGACCGATTAATATAAATAGACTCATTAAATTTATTTAATATGGGAACTGATATGGGAATAATGCGAAAGATGCCTTTGACTAAATGCAAGGAAGTTTGCAGAATAAATATTTAATGGTAACTTTACGAGCACACTAAATGTGTTATACAGATCTAGGTAATGTGACAACAAGTAAGGTTGGGTACTGTCAGCTAACAAAAACACTATTATAATACTGGCAAAAAACAGAAGAGAATGGCAAGAATTAAATTATTTTTATTAATTTTAGAATCTCTTAGACATGGATTATGTTGACCCTGCTGCTGAATATTTGATTTTAATTCCTGGTTTTCAAGGCGATTGTGGCATGTTTGAATCTTTATGTTCCACTCTCAAAATCAAAGGAATAACTGTCCAACTTGGACCAGATTTGGCAGCAAATACTATATCAGAAATGGCAGAAAGTATATTGAAGGTTAAAATATTAAATATTTTAAAGATTGATAAATAAAGATAAGCAAATAATAATAGTATACAAAGAGTTTAAAAAAAGTAAAGATTACAATATTTTGATGACAAGTAAACTAATTTATATTAATTTTTTCTAATAATCGCTAGATAATGATCAAAGATCTTAAAAAAATTGATCAAATTTTCATACATAAGAAATAACTAATAGAAGCAGGCCAAGCCTCAAAGCTAATTATTTCTAAGATAACATCATCACACTATAAAAATTATTTAGATTGTATTTAATTATTACTTATCTAATTGTTTAATTCTACTTGTTTCATTTCTATCTTATTTAGAATGCAGTAATAAAACTAGAAGAAAAGAATAAATTTTATCTCTTGGGATACTCGTTTGGTGTTAATATTGCTTTGGAAGTTGCAGCATTATTAGAAAAGAAAGGTATTTTTTTATATAATAAAAATATATATTGTATTGTATTTGTATATAAATAATTAGTTCAAAAATGATATAACATACAAAAATTAATATTACAGGCATCGTTGGTACAGTTTTTTGCCTAGACAGTAGCCCAGATGCTTTGCGTGTACAACTAAATACGTATACCAGCGATTTGGCAGACGAAGAATTACAAAACGTACTAATTGATCATATTTATTACTTAATAACTAAAGAAACAAACAACAAACTTAAAGAAGAAATAAAAAAAATTAACACGTTTGAAGAAAAAGTTAAGGTTTTTGTCAAAGAAACAAAAGAACGTGTGCCTTATCCTCAAGAATATATCAGACTAAGTGTAGAATCATTATATAACAGAATTTTACTGGCTATGAAATATAACCCTACATTTATGCTTGAATCTGAAATAGTTCTGCTAAAAGCGATCAATGATTCAAATGCTGAAATTTTACCATATGATTATAATTTGGCCAATTATACCAAAAAACCAGTAAAAGTAGTAAATATTGAATCGAATCATACTACATTGCCATTTAATGTTAATGTGCCGAATGTAATAAATAAAATGCTTGACAAGGACCTGCTAACAAAATATAAAAACACTAATCTTTGCAAAACTTATTTGAATAAAAAGAAGTAAATATTTAATGAGAATATTAAGGGTCCTAAAAGTCAATGTTCAACTTTTACATATTCATAATAAGTTTTGCTTAACTAAGCTACTGACTTATAAAACAAAATCTTATACAATGTAATATTTCAACACAATCACAGCTTTGGTTAGAAGACGCCCAAAAGCGTCCCATGCATTTTTCGGAGGAGGCATGCATCGACTTTTTTATTCATATTATTATTATCATCATACCTAGATAATCTGGTCAACATCAACTTTACCAAGAAAAGAAAAGCTCTGAATAAAATAAAGGATTCATTCATATATGTATTAATTTAGTTTATGAAGCCACTAATTTAATTATATGTAATAAAGTACTTTTTAGAAAACATTTCTTTTAATTTTAATGCAGAGAATTAAATGAAAGGATGAAGACCTTGTTAAAATTACAAAAAATAAAATATTTTTTCGATGCTACCATAAATTTAAACTTTCTTGAGAAGAAAGACATTAAGTAAAATAAAATAATTTAGATGGAGCTTAAGTAAACCAAATGATATTTTTGTTTTTGAAAACCCTTACAGAAACTTTCGACACTGGTTGTGGATTTTAAATAATAAAAATAGCTCCAAATAATTTAAAACATGAAAAATATTATACGTTTCAAATAATTTTATATAATATATTTTAATCTAATAAGTAATAATAATACATTTTATTTCTGTTTACTCAGTTTAGCTGGTAGCCTTGCACTAAGGTGAACTATATGACTATAAATAAAACTACCAAAACTAATGTACTGCTGGTAAGATAGGCTTTAATTTAACTTCGACAAGAAGGGCGGGCCTTTAACAGGGGGTTTAATATTTACTTATAATTTAAGCTATACTTTTAGAGAGAACCAAACCATAGCGCGATGTAGAGTACACGTAACGCCATCTAGTATAAAAAAAGTAATTTAAAAATGTGTAATATAAATATTAACTTGAACGGCTTTGAGTTTGGCTTCTCTTGTTGGAATTGGGTTTTTATTTAATTTAATTGTTCACGAACAATTGCTTTGCAAATAAAATAAAAAAATACTAAAAGGTTACATATGCTGCCCGATGTGTTAAACAGTTCGTAACGAGCTAAGAAACATTAGTTCTTATAACGCACTGTACACGCAACGTATACTAAATTTTTTTTTTTGTTACGCCTTGAAGGAAATTATGTTTATTTGCTATGAATTCAGGCTTGAGAATTAATTTTAAATTTTATTTCTAGTAAAACATATAAAATTAATTATAATAATCAATTTGTAATTTTATCATAAATTTGGGGCATATCACGTGAAGCGGACAACGAAAATAAAGTGAGGTTGTAAAAATTGTTCATACTCTGGTCAGTTATAGTTCTAGTGGACATGGATGTGCAAATACATTATTTTTTTCGTATAATGCTTTATTGCCGAGTTACGAGTTTTTAAAAATTTACGAAGTATGAAATCCGTACTTTTTGAATGCTTATTATTTGTATCAATCAATTTATCAAAATATCTAAAAAAATATCGTTTCTGAAAGTTAAAGATGTGAAGTGAAGATTTTAAATGGATGTTTGAGGAACTTCGACATATTTTCTTTTTCAATATTTTAACTTTGAATTAAAGCTATACATATCTTAATTCTTCATAAAAAATATAACGTGATCGCCAATAGTTTAGGACTTAGAGCATATTGAGTACATACACATCGCACTACGCGCCACATCCAGTACTTTTTTAGTTGAGTCTGTCGCCTCAGAACATACTATAGCTACTTAATTTTTTTTGTAAAATGATCTGAAGGAATTAAATGTAACTGCTAATATGATTATCATTATTAAATAAAACTATCTTTTCGGATTATTTCGCGGATTTATTTTGATTTTTGGTTCCCGACGTTTCGAATGCTTTACAGCATCCATGGTCACGGGAAAGACTGAGGTGTTACATGTCTTACAGACCACAGTCGAGCGCGTCCCTGCAGTCTTGCCATACATGAAAGGAGTCACTGACAAGATTGGCTACATTCTAAAGCGAGCTTCAATTAAAACTTACTTCAAGCCGCCAAAGAAAATTAGTCAATTCTTACCACCTGTCAAGTGCCACATCCTTCTACAAGATGCAGGAGTTTACAAGCTTGATTGTGATTGTGGGCTCTCTTACATTGGACAAACAAAGCGATCCATTAGAACCCGGGTCAAAGAACACATAGCTGATGTGAAGCACCGTCGCAATACAACATCTGCTGTCTGCAAACATAGCCAGGACCGCCCAAACCATTATATTCGTTTCGATAGACCTCAAATCCTGGCAAAAGAAAACCGATATCGCCCTAGAATGATTCGAGAAGCCATAGAAATTAAAAAACATCCAAATTTCAATAGGGAAGATGGCTGGGTACTACCATCGTCATGGGATCCTGTTATTAATATAATAAAATCAAATAATAAATATAAACATAACAGACAGGCAGATGTAGTAAGTTCATACTGTGTAGATCAAAATGACAGCTTATCAGATTAATATTTTTCATTTTTCATTTGTAAAAGTATATATTAATAGTGTTGCTTAATAATAATAGCAAACTAAATTAAAATTATAATCCTTAATTAATTTTAACTTTTTATTTAAAAAAAGAAATTAATTTCGTCTATTTTTATATTTATGCATGTTAAAAGAAAGAATAAAATGGTAAAAGCATAGTATTTTAGCATGTTAACTCATAAACATGACTGATACGAAAATTCTCTTAGCGTTGTGTTAGTACTCAATATGCTCTAAGTCCTAAACTATTGGCGATCACGTTATAATTTTTTTTGTGAAGAATTAAGGTATTCAAAGCTTTAATTCAAAGTCAAAATATTGAAAAAAAATATGTCGAAGTTCCTCAAACATCCATTTCAAATATTCACTTCTGGTTTACTATACGTAAAAAGAAACAAATTTATAATTCCATAAAAAAAATAAAAACTACATCCTTTTAACTTTCAGAAACGATATTTTTAAGATATTTTTACAAATTGATTGATACAAATAATAAGCATTCAAAAAGTACGGATATCATCCTTCGTAAATTTTTAAAAGCTCATAACTCGGCAATAAAGCATTATACGAAAAAAATAATGTATATGCACATCCATTTCCACTAGAACTATAACTGACCAGAGTATGAACAATTTTCACAACCTCACTTTATTTTCGTTGTCCGCTTCACATCAAATGCCCCATATATTAGTTGCGAAAATTATAATTATTTGGGAATATTTTTTATCTATCTCATCAATATTTGCTAGTTAAATGTTCCAAAGTATTGTGCTTAAGCCTTAAACCTAAAATATATGTCGACGCAGGACGGCCAACATCAGAATTATTCATTATAGTGGGCGTGATCTTAAGTAATGTCTTTTAACAGATAAAGTAGATATTATAATCAACTAATTCAATTACACTTGACACACTCAGAACTATATACGCAATATTTTAAAATACATTTTGTATTTTTAAAATACATTTTTTATTTTGAAATCGTGCTTATATTTCTTAGATTTCTTAACTACTGCTTTGATTTTTATTTTGACTTTTGATTTTTTTAACTATTGATTTGATTAGACAGTCACAATTCAGATCCAAACATATATCAAAACTAGCAGTACTCCGCAGCTTCACCCGCGCTCAATTGCTAGTATTGCACCATGTTTAGTATATAGGATGCGGCCTCTGGAGGAGTGTGCGGTATTTTTTGGATAGGATAGATGATAGCAGGGCCTGTCGACTTTGTTTTACGAATAAGTAGGTGTGCTTAATAACAAGAAAGAGACAACGACATCAGAGTATATGAGAGGAATATATACATTTGTATAATGTTGCCACCAAAAATAAGATCTGGTATTCTCTATAATAATGAGCTTATTAATTGATTTTTAAAGTAAATTGACCTTGAAAATACATTTTATATATAATTCTGATGCCAAACAAATATATTTAATTAAGAAATATAATATATTCAATTGATTATTATGTAATAAAAAATGATATGGAATATAATGTGTGGCAACACTAACGTCACAAGAAAAATGTCTGCCTTGTACTTGTTTATTTGTAATAAATATTCCATTTAATAATTAATTCTACATTACATTGATAACGTTGAGTCGAGCTTGCTCCTCCGTGGCTGTGTTTTGGTGAAATTAAGTGTGCATTTGTGAGATATAGACTCGGTGTTGAGATAGTGACTCTTGTTTGATTTTGTTATTTGTGTTTATTTTCTCGATGATCATTACATACACATACTTATCATTTGTGAACAAATTCATGTATTCATGTAAAATCAGTAATAATATATGTTGCCTAAATGAATCTGATAAATTATAATTATTATCATCTATACATAATATAATAAAATTGTAACTGAAGAAAATCTGTACATTAAATATTTTTTGAAAATCTTATTAAAATAGACATTATACTGAGGTCAAATCTATAGTTTTTAGAATTTTTGTCTGTCTGTCTGTTACCGCATCTCGGAAAAACCACTGGAAGGATTTTGATGAAATTTTGTATGATCATATCCGATAATTATCCGGGTCAACATATAGGATACTTTTTACCGCAGTAAAATATCTCATTTCTGAGAAAAAATACAAAAACTGAAATGTAAGAGTATACTAATAAGTAAAACCTAAGAATTTGGTTTTTGGTCATCTGAACGCGGGTGGAGCCGCGGGCAATGCTAGTGGTAAATAAAAAAGTAAAGTACTAATCTTTGTTTTATTAAAATACTCCTTATATATTATTTTAGCATTTTATGCAAAAGTACACTGTGTTTCTACATAGTGATTTTGTTTAGTTGTCTATTATTGTGGAACAAATTTGGCCATCTTGTAAGTTGTAGGAAACTATCGAGAAACGCACTGTACTTGTGCATATAATGCAATACAAAGTATCTATAAAATGCACTGTAGTTTAAACTTCCCGCCCTAGCTCCTATTATCTAGTTTTCGTGGACTGTACATAGATGGCGCTGATCGCTAAGGAAAAATTTCCTCCTAAAATTTGTATGAAGTCGATATTCTTCTCCTGAGTAAAAGTGTTCTGTGGATGATAAGAAGTCTTAATATACTCGTACATATAAAAAATATTTTTTAGGAAATGAAGGAGCCAAGAGTTATTGGAGACCTAAAGTTACAATGCCTCGGTGGTGTAGCGGCTAGCATGTACGGCTGCACACCTGGAGGTCCTGGGTTCGAATCCCGGGTCGGGCCAAGTTTAGTTATTGAGTCTTTCTGTATAGAAGTAATAGCCCGGAGTTTGGAAGTTGGCGGTGTTTCACCCCCGTGCCTCGGAGAGCACGTAAAGCTGTCGGTCCTGCGCCTTATCTCTCACCGGTCGTGTCGAGTAGTCGTCCCATCGGAGTATGAGAGTGACAGGAATAGAGAGTGCACTTGTGTCTGCGCGTACACTTGAGCACTATAATATCTCCTGCGCAGTTGGCTAGTCTCAATGAGATTGGCCGCCGTGGCCGGAATCGGTCAGGAGAACATCATCTCATCAAAGTTACAATTTTTTTATTATAATATTAAATTTTGTTTCATATCTAAATAACTCATTAATAAAGATAAACATACTTTTAAAGAATAGTAAGCATCCTTTTTCGTGTACAATTTATATTATTATATCATTTAAGATTTTTTAATTTCGATTTTTCAATAATCTCACTTAAAACCATATCTTAATGTATTATATAATTCTTCTGTACGTGTGTTTGTTAATCTACTCCTCCTAAAGGACTGGACCGATTTGGATAAAATTTTGTGAGTATATTTTAATGGGCTTCTGGATGGTTTGAAAATACAAATGGATCCAGTAGGTGGCGCTGCAGTCGGTGTGCCACTGATCATCTTCTAAGCTACAGGGACTATTTTATTGATATTTTTTGTGTATGTTCCAGTGGGTCACTGTGAGGTTTGAATTCACAAATGGATCCGGTAGGTGGCACTGCAGTCGGTGTGTCACTAAATTTTCATAAAAAACTCCATTTTCCGAGCAATAAATAAATTTAAATTGTTGATTAAATTAAATAAAAGTGTGTATGTATGTTTCCTATGGACTCTAAAACAGCTTGAGCGATTTTGATGAATTTTCATGTAATCTTCAGGTTAGCCCTGTGAATTATGTAAGCGATCGGAAGTTTGGACGCGGACGAAGCTGCGGGTACTGCTAGTTTATTATAAATATTACATTTTGACAAAATTGTCAATTTATTTTTTTAATTATTGTTGTCATGATATAACAAATTATCACTTATGTTAATAGATGGACTTTACTTAATAGTTGCAATCTAAAACCTTTTTACTACTTTTTTCACAAAATAACCAAAACAATAAATATTTTTTTCTCATCTGTAACAGATAAAACAATATAAGAAACTGAACAACTGAACAATCTATCAATTCACTTTTTTATATGAAGATTTTTTAATCCTTTCTTCTAAAGTCGCGCTGTGTTACGAATTAATAAGGTCCACCGTAACATTGTTTGCTGATGTTTGTCTTAAGTCCAATATGCAGATTTCGGTGTAAATATATAAAAAGTAATAAAATTAAAATTTTGTTACAGGTAAGTATGTGATTATTGTAACTTTTATTTTATCTCATTGTTTTTGTGTATATATTGTGTTGTCTGTTGTAGGTCCTGATTTTACATAAAATCACTCTTGATACTATATATAATCAGATTAGTATTTTTTTTTCTCCTTTTTTACCCAGTCATTCTATATGTAACGTGCTTTCTCAACTCTACGCGACATTGGCGAAGAAAATTGTGCCCAAAGGCACTTCTAGAAGCTACGAAACAAAAAAAATGAATTGAGATTTTTTAACCCAAACTTTACACTTTTCCGTACAATTTTTTAAATATTTTTTTCATAAGAACCTTGTTACAATTACAAATACGACAAAAAAAGAAATAGCCAAATAGGTGCAGCCGTTCTGAATTAATTGGCTTACATATATTTGGCAATTCATTTTTATTTATATTATATTTTGTACATTTTACCTACCTCGTAAGTAGTAATATTTTTAAATAATAATTGGAAGTTAAAGGTTAAGATTAGTCCAAAAATTTGCATTGTCAAATTAATTGAAATTATATATGTTAATGTATAACATTAATTTGTTAAAATTTAAATACTTTACGTTTAAAATTAACAGGAAATACGTACTTTTTGTTTTCAAATCAATTTAATATGTGCATTTTGTAATTTTTTTAACCTTTCACTTACCTATTGTCAAAAGAGTTGGTATCTAGTAAAGCATTCTGTGTAATCTATATTATTATAATAAAGTGGTAAAGTTTGTGAGTTCGTGAGCTTGTGACGTAGTTTTTTTTTACACTTTTCAGAATTAGTGCTTGACTACGTTCCACCTGATGGTAAGTGGTAACGCAGTCGTAGATGGTAAGTCGCACTAATTCAGTAGCCACCTATTCACTCTTGCCTTGAAGATTATTATAATCGGACGGAAACACCGACACAGGCAGGTTGTTCCAATCCTTAGCCGTACGTATAATAAATGACGTAGCAAAACGCTTCGTGCGGACGGGTGGAATGTCCACGACATAAGGATGGAGACCAGCCGTTCGTCGGGTTGTCCGATGATGGAAAGGGGATGGGGGAATTAATTCATGTTCCTGTTTTCCTGTTCCTGTTCCTGCGCACACTCTCCGAAATGTAACCTCTATAGGTTACATACACAAATATGGGTATACACAAAGGCTGGCAACCCTACGTCGGTGATCGAGGAAACGCGTTTAATAAGTACAGTTCGTATACACATAAACTATCGAACTTCGTGGTATTATATGACTACCCGCCAAAAATACTGAAATGTATTCACAGATCAAAAAAAATTTGACAACGTCAAACCAAAATTTATAGTGTAATTAAAATTTATTTTAAAATATATACGAAAATAACATTAAACTTTAATTAATAGTATAAAAAATGTTTTAAAAGACAAAAAAATCGAAAGTGCATCATATTACAAGACATAATCAGAGATATATATATAAGAGACATATCATAAGACATATTCCTCGATAAACAATAGCATTCCCAAGGAGGGTTGACGTCAGGCAGGCGGCCGGTCGTAAAACTTTTGCCAAATCCTTTCAGCAGTACAGAGGATGTACTGCGCCGACCCCAAGTAATTGGGAAATGGGCAGGGAGAAGAAGAAGAAGAAGTATTCACAGATCATGGCACTCAATATTTTACATAAATCAAATTAAATCTCGTAAATGCAGCATGAATTGAAAATAACATAATTCTTTTTTTAAATCTCAGTTATCTGATGACAATTTTCATTTTTAATATGCGTAACTTTAAACTAATTACTAAGCGATAATCTGTTATGTCCTGAAAGCGGTACATAAAACAGAAATTGTCAGTTTCGGTCAAAATTTAAGATTATTTTGTTTAGATTATTGTTTTTAGTGAAATTATCAAAATATAATGAAGCCGTAATTAATATGAAAATATGGATTTTATATAAAAAAAACATGTTTACTATTCGTTAAAGGCATGTTTATCTTTTGTAATGACTTATTTAGGTACATAAATATATGCAAATGTTCTAACTTTAAGTCTCCATAACTTTTGACTCCTTTGTTTCCTCAAAATATTTTTTATAATATATTTAAACTCCCTATCACCTCCCAAAATGCCACCCACTTCTCCAGGGGCCGTGTCCCATATACTGGTACTAAAGTTGTGCCCAGAAGAATTATATATATTAACATGATGAGTTGTTGTAGGTTGTACTATAATGTTTTTCCCCGTGGGAATGAAATAATCTCCCGCAGTAAAGTAGCCTATGTCATTTTCCAGCCCTTTAACTACCTTGACACAAAAAAACACGCCAATTCGTCACTTTGTTTCGACGTGGAGAAAGGACAGAAAAAATAGTCAAACTGTAAATCGTAAAAAGAGAAAACAACGGTAAAATCTACAAATGCATTCAAGTATAATATAGTTTATATTAATTTAAACTTCATAATTAAAAAGTAGTATTAAGGAAAAAGAAAAATGTGATGTTTAAGTTTTTTCGTGTAATTTTTCCAATTTTTCTCTTCATAAGAACGGTTCTCGAACTTCAACGATTATTTGAAAAAAAATAGACGAATTGGTTCAGCCGTTGTAAAGCCTTTCGCATCGTAATAATAATAGTAATCTTTATTTTAGACGTAAGTACATCCATATATTGTTAATTAGTTAGTAACAACTATACTTAATACTATGTTAGTATGGTTAGTATTTTTTGCAAAAAAATATTATTACACTATTATAATACATTTAACTATTCATTTTTATTTATAAGATTTAAATATATTCTGTGTCACCATTCGTAAACACATTATCAATAAACTTGCCACTTGATTTCATTTTGAATACGTTTAAGCAAAAAGTATTTATTGAGCTCATTGTTGCATAAGTGTTATCACTATTGCGGTAATTCTGTAAGGTGAAGTAGCCACAAGTGTTTTTTTTTAAATTAAAAGTCATTAAATATTGTCAATCATGCAGAACGAGAGACAAGATGAATTAAAAGGCAACGAAGTGGTTATAAGTGGAATATCCGGAATATTTCCGAAATCTGATTGCGTTCTCGAGTTCATGGAGAATTTATATAATAATGTATGTTTTTTTTTTATTTTCTTCATTATTTTAACTATTCAATTACCTAGATGTGATTTTTCCTGTAAAAGGTATACAAATGGATTTATGAAATGTTTAATCTTACAATACAAACCATAATCGACTACGCCGATGTATTCTATTTAGATGTGACAGTGGACCTACTGAATAAACTAGAGCGTCTTCAAAATCTCGCCATACGCTTTATCTGTGGTACACGCAAGTATGATCATGTTTTCGACTGTTGGGCTCGGTTTAAATGGCTCCTTTCGTTTGTGTGATCTAAATGTGTAATGGGGTCCTTTCGTTTCTTTTTAATATCCTTCATAACCTCAATTTTCCCTCTATCCTTCGTTCCCGATTTAACTTTCTTCTCACTCCAACGCGTTCTAGGCGGCCCTGCATCACATCGATGCTTGATGTACTGAGAAGCAACACCAAGTTTTCCCAAAACTCATTCTCGGTACACGCTGCAATGCTATGAGACAGACTTTATATATATAAAATAATATACATTTAAAATCTATATAAAAACTTAAAAAAAACTGACTTCCAGACACTAAAGTGTAAAAAATAACTAAACGGGGGTTTTCATTTAGCAAACGTACCTAATCAGATATTTTCGAAGCCGGTGCCAGTCGATGCATAGCAAATCTAATATATATCGATACGTAAAACACATATTTACCTAATAGCGGCTCACCCTCGCATCGCTCGGGTTCACCTCTAGAAAAGCACAAACAGATCTAGCCCACGGAAACCGTTCATTTT